ATCGTGGCTATTTCTTCTAATCATGCTGAGATAATTGTTATTCATGAAGTAAGTCGAGAATGTATTTGGTTGAGGTCTATAATATATCTTATCCGAGACAAATGTGGTTCGAAGTGTGACAAACTACCCATAATTTTGTATGAAGACAATGCAACATGCATATCCCAATTGAAGGGATGATTCATAAAAGGAGATAAGACAAAACACATTTCACCAAAGTTATTTTTCACACATGATCTTCAAAAGAATGGTGATATCAATGTGCAACAGATTCGTTCAAGTGATAATATGGTTGATTTGTTCACCAAATCTCTACTGACGTCAACCTTCAAGAAACTGGTGTACAAGATTGGGATGCGAAGGCTGAAGGATGTGAACTGATGCTCTCATCAGGGGGAGTTAATACGCGGTGTACTCTTTTTTCCTTACAAGGTTTTGTCCCACCGGGTTTTCCTTGCAAGGTTTTTAGCGAGGCAACCAAAAGGCGTATTTCTAAATATGTGTACTCTTTTTCCTTCATTAGGATTTTTTTTCCCATAGGGTTTTTTCCTAATAAGGTTTTAACGAGGCACATTATTTATGGACATCCAAGGGAGTGTTATGATAAATATCATATTATGGTGAGTGTCTACTCTTCCTCCATGATCTTCATGTCAAATGTTCAATGACATATTCCATGACATATATTCTTCACTTTTCATGCCTATATAAAGGCCTTGTAATAAATAGGAAAATACACACAATTGAAGAAGAAAATCTCTTCCTTCTCTCTATCTCCATTTATTATTCATGTTTTACTAAATTGCTTTTATTTCCTTGTTCCATATTGTTACTTTGAGTTATATTTCATAACAATTTAGTAATTTTTTAATCATGAAATATGTAGCAAGCAAAAGATGCTCGGAAATGACGACCAAAAGGAACACACCTCTCTTTAAAGAAAAGAGAGTTATTTATGAGAATATGATTAAATAAAGCAAATGTGGTTAGACAGTGAAAGCAAATTCTCTGTGTAGTTCCCATTTGGCTCTAAACACACAGGAATTCAAAGTAGTCAAAGTATTAGTGAAATATTTGACGGACAATAGGATGAACACCAGTTCACTTTTGGCTTGAGAGTTGGCTCTGCTGAAAATTTGTCAATAATATTTAACTGATGTAACTAGCCAAAAATTCACAACAGGAAACAATGTTCCTGCCGGGGCGCCCATTACTCCATCACCAGCAGCTTCATGATTTCTTTAAGTCTTCAATGACAACATGCGCAGCATTGCGTCCTGGGGCGCCCATTACTCCGCCACCAGGATGTGCCCCGCTGCCACACAGGTATAGACCTTCAACTGGAGTCCGATAATTTGACCTGCATTTCAACGTTCAGATAATAGCAAAAACCATTATTTTATGGACTTGAGACCTTCAAGGACTAATGTCAAAAGCTGTTCAAAACCGTTACCATCCTTTCACCGGCCGCATTAAAAACAAAGAATCTAATCCCATGGATCCATGGAATATATTGCCTCCTGTAAAGATATAACAGAACCCATCAGCATTTCCTATATTAATTTGCAGGCATGATAAAGAATGCTCCAGCCTATAATCGTTTCCTCTCATAACGAGACGAATCCAAAGATTTCTTAAACTAGACTCGGATAAACCAAAACATCAGGTTTTCGTATTATCTTCCTAGATCTTGTAGTGTGCTAGTACTTATAACGTTAGATGACAGGAAGATAAAACTATGAACATGATTGAAATCCTAAGTGCCAGATATTAACTTTAGTACAGTTGCAGAACTACAATAAGTTCGCAACATAACATTGCTGCTGCTTAAAGGTAACACGAGTGGAATGCCTTTGTGGAGATGTTTTATTCTGCCGCACATTGTTATTCAGTAAACAGATTTTGCACTCACATCGAAACCCATTTAAGGCCTGTAGCACAGAAGTTTAAAAATAGTATGTATTAAACATGTTAGATAATGTGGACGGCAGGGGCAGATTTACCTTGCCCCAAGCAGTGTCTGGGACACCGCTCTGTCAAAAAAATTGCTGGATAACAAGCAAAATGAAAATATTAGGTACAAATATAAAAAATGGCACCACTTTTAATAGAAGGGTTCATTGGTAAAGTGTCTCATCTCCCTCTTGGAGGTGAGGGTTAGAGCCTCACTCATCTCCCTCTTGGAGGTGAGGGTTAGAGCCTCACTGATTTAGTTAGCGTAACTACCAAATAAGGAGCAACAAAACCAATTGAGTTAGAATCTGTTCCTAATTCAATTGATGTAAATAAACATCTTTAACATCAATACGTGTAACGTTTTTTCTTTGTATTATATTCTGTCTTTTATCGATTTTAGGTGTCTTTCATCTAATGCTTTCATTAAAGAAACTGTATGTTTGAAACCATACTGGAATGGTGTGTGCTGATTCTACTGAAGCAGCCTTAAAACCACAAGTTTGAAAAATTACTCAAATGTTGACACCGCTTACAAAAAATCCTGAGTATGCTATTGGTAGAAGGAGAATGACTCACTAAAGTGCCATTAAAATGCTATACAAATATTAAGTCATTCAAACTTCACTTAGCGCTGAGAATTGGAAATACTCAACAATTAGCTGTTTAATAAGAAACTTTTAACAGTCTATCCTTCTCTAGTGCATTGGCTAGAATGTTCAATTTATCTATTCAACAATTTTGATGTTCAACAAAACAAATGTACAATTTTGATAATTTCAAAATCATAGCATAGAATATTAGTGCTCGATGGTACAATTTAAGCAAGCTTAACAAATATATAGGGACCATCCAAAACCTTCAAGCTATGACATGAGGATAACTTGAATTTTGCATATGATTCAGAGAACGTAATACTCTAAAAACTGAACATGCCTTTCATCGTTCATTGACACGTGTCAATCTCCAACTTATCAAACAGCCATTAATGAAGGACATCACATTTAGATATGGTTCTTTCTCCAGGGGGAAGGAGTAGAAAAAGTATAACTGAAGGGATAGCAGTGGCGCACCTGTCAAACCAATTTCTCTTTCAAGATCTGGAGGAGTCAACATATCATACCCAATAATTGATGAGCTAAATCCAGGAGCATATTCATCTATCATGCTAAAGCATCTCTGGGCAAATGATTCCTAGAGAAAAAAAAAGTTCTTTTAATATCACACACATGAAATATGTGATGCACAAAAATGCAATCAGGTTGGATCTAGAAGTTCAAGAATGATTATGGAAGGTATCAGAATTATAAGTGAAGATGATTAAAAACTATCAAGAAAGATACTATAACAACTCTTCAGAGATACTTAACTCTATATGCAGGATTTTCCCAGCTGCCATCAGATGGTTTATAAGGTGTGTACTGGATGAATAAACCAATCACATGTTTTCCTAGGTAAAATAATGTGAATATCTGTAAGTTCTAGCGTTGATCGAAAACCACAAGGATATAAAAGAAACAAGACTTCTATTATTCTGTTGAATGTGAATATCATAATTATATGGATTTATTGCATTTTACTCCTTCACATTTGCACATTTAGCATTCTGCCTCCCTGTACTGAGGAAATAGACTAACACTCCTATGTGGTTCTAGAACCATGCATTTTAACCCCTCAAACTGTGTTAGCTCATTTCCTTCGAAAAGGCCGTGCTGAGGAAGCAAACTTGAGTACCTGATGGAGAGATTGTCTTGTCAAAGACAGTAGGAATTGTCATCTCAATTATGGGCCGGCGAGATGGTAAGCCATTTTCAGCATCCTGGGCAGCAATGTGCATCTCTTCCATACTAAAAGCATCACAATTATACAGTTATCTTCCAAATAAAATCACAGTTGAAAGCTCAATTTTACAAAATACAGGAATTGCAAGAATGATGATACCAATAATAATCTGACCAATGTCAATGACAGAAAAAGGGTTGTGGGCAAACCTTCTTATTATGTGTTTAATAAACTCAAAGATCATTGGTATCAGATTTAACTTTTCAGAGTAAGATATTTCTGTGACGACCCGGTCAGTCGTCTCATGAGTTACCACTCCGTTTCCCCCATTTCAGCTTCTTTACGCTTCGTTATCCGTGTTTTATGTGATCGAGTTGATTAGTTCGAGTTCGGAGAGGATTTGGTAAGAAATGAGACACTTAGCCTCTTTTAAGAAGGCTTAAGTTGGAAAAAGTCAACCGGGTGTTGACTTATGTGTTAGAAGGCTCGGAAGTGAGTTCCGATGGATCAGTTAGCTTCGGGAGGTGATTTGTGACCTAGGAGCGCGATCGGAATGGGTTTTGGAGTTGTAGAGAAGATTTAGGCTTGAATTGGCAAAATTGACATTTCGGCAAATTCCGGTTGATAGGCGAGATTTTGATATTGGGGTCGGAATAGAATTCCGAGAGTTGCAGTAGCTTCATTTTTGTCATTTGGGATGTGTGCAAAATTTCAGGCCATTCGGACGAGATTTGATAGACCTTTTGATCGAAAGCATAATTTAAGAGTTCTTAGGCTTGAATCCTATGTTAAATTGGTGATTTGATGTTGTTGTGAGCGTTCCGAAGTTTTGAGCAAGTTTGAACGATGTCACGGGATGTGTTGGTGCAATTGGTTCGAAGTTCTGGGAGTTCCGGGTAGGTTCCGGAATGTTTTAGTGCAAAAATCATAGCTGTAGCAGGTCTACAGGGGTTGCAAGCCCCGAAACTCATTCACGCGGTCCGCACAAAAATAAGTGCGCCCGCGTTGAGTGCTGTGCGGACCGCACAAAAGCGGGCGCGGCCGCGGTAGCTGAAACCTAAGGGGTACCTATAAATACGAGGTCTTGGGTTTTATTTAATATTTTAACCTAGAGAGCTCGGAT